GGAAGCACTTGAAAAGGTAAACGCACGCTAATCAACGTTTGTGTCTTTTACTAGTACCTTATTATTATTCCCTTGGGTTTCGAGTGGAACATAGCACGTGAGTCAATGCACATGTCTATTTCACTATGTTCTTTGTATTTTTTTATCTGGCTTTACGATTGTCCATAGACTTTCATTGCTTCTTCACACCGATTTTTTCTCTATGTCACTCTTATACCTACGCCGGTCTCGCATTTCCCCATCCGGGTTCCACTGCAGGACCTGGTGCGTGATTTCACTCAACAGTCTCCTCAGTGGTGTGTCCAACCAATCTTCAGAATATTCACTTGTCGATGGGTTCTTGGTTGATTCGTTCCCTTGTTATTAATCCTTTCTGACCGGACCGGCCATCTGACCTTCAGTGCGTAGTGGAGGCAACTGTTGACAAAAGTTTAAAGTAGCCTGTTGGACATGCTTTCGGTGACGCTCCAGGTCTCTGAACCATATAGAGGAACTAACTGACTTGAGTGAAGTTTCTGTTTTCACCTTGAGGCGTGAGCCTAGAACCCCTACATCGTACCTAGGCCTGTTTTGTTAAACAAGCTTACTGGGACACTTCCTTGTAGAGTGTTGGACTAGTATAGCAGTAAGTGCTTGTATTCTTACTTCTCTGATAGGTAACAGTACAGTGTATATGGTAGGTAGTCCTTCACTGCTCTACTCACTCTAGATGGTTTTCCTCAATCAAGCTGCTCTTCTTTCTCCTTTTGTGTTTTCTTTCTCATTAAGTGACTTATTTACCTCAGTTTGATGAAAACAATTTCCCTAAGTATAACGATGATCTGATTGTTGCTACGTGCGTTACTACTCTGCGAGATTGTTCCAAAATAACGTTTTATTGGAAATTGGTCAGCAGTCCTTGTTAAATTGTCTTAAGCTAAATCCCTGTAAATATCAAGATGTTAATTTCCCTTACAGACAAAAGTGCGACTGCTATAAAACTGGTTCGTTCGCCTGGTTCCACCATCATAGATGGCACAGACTTTGGGGTTAAATCGAATGCTAAATAAAACCTCGGATTATGTTCCTCCTTTGATCTTTCCTCGTCTTCCCAGATCACGTTAATTGAGAGAGTTAAGGGGACAGATTTCGTTCAACATCCTACTGAAGACATTTAAAATGGTCTGGTATCAGTCAGTGTCTACTTTGTAAGTTTGTTAATACTTGTATTCTACCTATGCTTTTCCATTGTTCCCCACAGCTTGATCTTTCGTGGACTACCTGAAAAGGACTTTGTTACACTGTGAAGGACACGGAAAAAACTCATTAGGGCGAGTGTTATGTTGCGAAACCAACTCGTTAAAACCGCTGTTGTTAACAGACAAATGGTTTCATGCAATAAACTTGGCGAATATTGTCCTGTCAGACCCTGCGCATACTCTCTACACACAGCTCTCCTTGCATCTATCTCATCAGGTAGAACTAGACGCAATTATAGAAGACTTTATGACAGTATAAAAAAATCTACACCACCTTATTTGTCAGATACACATTCTTTATCTAATGAGAAAAGTGTGTCAGGCATGAGACTATTATTAACTTACTGCGAAACACAGGGAAAACGACCGCTCTTTACTCTCTCTCTCTCTCTCTCACATTATTACACTGTTGTTAATATTTTCAGTCAATTTAACTTAATGTTCATAATCGTATTAAATAATAATATTATCAATATAAATGACCTGTGTTTCAATGATTACTCGTGTGATGAGACGAAGATTAGGTGCAATGCTGTACTGCACGCTGACAATTCCATATTTCCTGTAAGAAGTACCGTTCGGAATACGGCGATTATTATTATTATCATTATTACTGCTACTATTACTATTATTAATATTCCTACTATCATTATCATTATTATGATTCATTCGCTCAAGTCATCCATCGCCCACATCTAACTCATACACTCCCTCCCCTCCATCCAATAAACTATACAGATTCCAATAACAATGAATACGTGGCCACACACCAGACAAGAAGAGGTAGAAGAAGGAGGGGAAGAAAGGAATATCAGAGAGCAGGTGATTACATCAAGTCGACCAGTAAGCGACACGAAGATACAAAATTCTGAAGATATTGAAAATGCAATCGGTGTAGTGATGATATGTGTAGTCATCGATCTACTCTCGGTGATAATACTACTTCCAACTTACTGTTTAGACAAGAAAATACAACAGAACAAGAGGCGCGTGATGAAAATGCATCCGGGAGAAATCGACTAGCTAGCGTGAATAAAAATGAAGAAACCATGATACAAAATGAATGGACACATGATACAGAAGGCATTACTGCCAATCATCCCACTCTCCGCCGCGTCAGGGCATTCCAAATTCTAGTAATGTCACTAATAGCGACAATAATACAGTTAACCCATCATTGATGATTCAAGGTAATAAACGATATAAATGTGAAT